ATGCATCATGGGAGATGTGGTCCTCTTCAACAGAACACCAAACATGCAAAGGATAAAGATACAGCATAATAGTTTTTTTCTAAAGTGGTAGATTCCCCATAGTGATGGATTGCCACTGAGGGATTCCCTCAGATTTTTTTTTTTTATATTAAACTAGCAACCTCTGAAGTTCAGGCGAGAAACTCCAGAGTGCTTTGCCCACATTCCCTTTCTCAGTCCTCAAGTCAGTGAGGGTTTTTTTTTTTTTTTTGCAACGGTTACCCTGCCAGTTTTGGCTTTTCAGAAATTCAACCTGCTCTTGTTTATGGGCTCTCAGTCACTTTCTTGGCTTATTGGCTAAGTTTGCACATAGTCTTTCTTCTTACCAGTTTCTGTGATCTCTTACTTCACTCCATGCGAGACCTTAATTTTAGCTAGTGGTTCCTTCTGGATTCTGAATTCCCACCCACCTTGATGAAAGTAGTGAAGAGGTTACTGTAATGGAGATTTTCATGTAAAATGGAGAAAAAGGAGGAAATGTGTTTGCCAGTTAGGACCGCATGAGACCCTATTACACAGTATAGCCAAGTTAGTTCCCTCTCCCTCTTGGCAGTGACCATCTTGTTAGCTTTCAGGAATCCTACGCGTTTAGGAGACTATGCGTGACGATCCTTTGTGGACATCTCTCAGTCCATCTTCATTCTTCTGGAGAGCCCTTCTAAGTGGACAGCTGTGATTCTCAGCAGCCTGTATCCCACTTTTTGCTGAATAGATAATTGCGTGCAGAAAAACAGCTGTCAACAGCTATATTTGCCAAAAAAAAGTATTCTATCTCTTTAATGAAAGGAAAAGTCAATATAATGTATTCTCAAATCTAAATGCAATAAGGAAATAACATATAGCTCTGACTGTGATTTATGACATTTGGCTTTGCAGTATTCATATATTGCACAAACTCTGGAATCTTCTCTGTTTCAGAAAATAAACAGTAAACACACTGGGGAAAAATTAGCTCTCTATGACTGCAAAACAGATATTTTTTCCATTTACTATTCTAAAATATTTGAGCATCATCTCTCTGAAGCCAGTTTATCATGTATGTCCAGGTCATACAGTACAAGGAGAAATGGAACAAGATGGCAGTTACAGTGGCAAGATGCAAATTTATTCGGGCAAAAGTAATAGGTGCACAATATCAAGCATGCTCAGGTTTGTGCCAAGGAAACTGTTACGATGAGGGATGGATGGGATGAAGTTTTTGCATCATACATGATTACGTTTCTCTGAACTTCATAAAAGAGTCTTTTTGCCTATGTGATTTCCTAGCTGCCACTAAGAAAAAATGCAGAGCACACTGCTGGAGTAAAAATACCCTGCTCAAACGATAACATCTATCACAGCAGCAATCTCCCCAGGAACATGACATTCCTTTTAAAAATCCAGGAAAAAATAGAGTGAAAAGGGGAAAAATAGTGACAGAGAATTAATAGACCATGTAACTGCAGGCACCTATTTGAAAAGGGAGTATTTGATGACACCTTTAAAACATTTGTGCTTCCTGCTTCATTTTGCTCTTCTTTTTAAAGCTCTACTTTTTAAAGCATGTGAATAATGTTGCCACTGTTTCTCCTCAACTCTCTTCCTTCTATGCCGTTGCCTGAAGCCAAGGAGCAGTAGCGCTGTGTTTACCTCCCCCGACAACAAAATCAGAATTAAGGGAAAACAATTACAGAAGGGGAGGAATAAACAATTATTTATTGATGGGTATTCTCTGCATTGAGTATCATAAGTCACTGGAGCTTACTTAACCCATGCAATATGGAGACATGTACCCACTACCATTTTGGATGTGCAAGCTGTGGTACATGCATATCATGGTCTGTTGTACTATGCAAACCCAGTCACTGCAGCTTAATTGAGGGGTAAAGAACTGTGTGATAACGCTAGAGCTACCCCATCAGTGAATGTGGCTTCTAGGATTATTGGAGGGTTCTTTAACCCTCAAATAACCCATGCTGCCTGGGTTTGAACAACATGAAATGAAATGCCAAGGTGCGTGTATTCATATGGCTTGCATATTCAAAATGGTGGCCAGAACACATGTTGGACCCTTGTGGATTAATAAACTCACGATGGCTTATCGTGACACGTGACCCAGCCCAGTATGTCACCATGAGGCAAAATTGGGCCACACCGAGTTCAGCCAGCATCTCTTCTTTGGATGCTGCTTTAACTGCGGGACGAACAGAACCCGATACTGCATTGGGGCAGTGAAAAAAGACAAAGAAAGGAAAGAAGAAAAAAAGATGAGCACTTAGTTCATGGGGTGAACCAAAATGATGCAATGAATGCCACAGAAATGGATGGTGTTGAATGGCCTTTGCACAGCAGAGGTAGATCAAGGTTTATAACAAACTGTTTACTGACCATTTACATTTAAGATAAAGAGAAGAGGTCAGTTGAACAAGAGCTCACCTAAGTACTTGCTTACTCATGTGACGCTAGCTTCTCCCTCCAGTGTTGCAGGCCAGCCCAGTTATTGCTGTATGTATTACTTTTAGCAATAGACCCAAGACACTTTGAAATCTACATTCTACCATTGATTAAAGCTTTCTTGCAATCCCCACCCCGCCCCACTTTTGGAGCATTTCCACAGTACAGCGTAATTCATAAAATGTGCTCTTCCAGGAAAAAAGCACCATGTTTTATGCCCCATAGAATATTTGTGTGTGCACATGTGCAATGGGAAGGGCAGAGCAGGGGAGGGTTAGGAAAGAAATTGAAGCTGAAAAATTCTGCATTTTACGTGCTTTTTTGTATTTGCACAGGTTATTATAAGATCCTCATTCTCAGTCATAGCAAAACACTATCAAAACAAGAAGTCTTGCAAAATAGTTGAGCTTATACATCTTAACAAATGCATTAGTTTAACCTGCTAAAGCAGTAGGGATTTTTTCTTTTTCTTTTTTTTGCAGAACTTCACAAACCATAAAACATGAATAAAAATGCATATCAACACCGCAGTGATGAACAGATTTTTTTAAAGAGGGCAGGGAGGATGGATTTTCATAGCTAGGAAGTAGGTAATTGGTTAGCTAAGAGAATATTTCGTTTCTTTTTTCCTTCATCTCTCAGCTACACAGCAAACAGCTCTAAAGTGCACTTTCCAAGTGTAGTTAGAGAACAGGAAGGAATGAAAAGTTTTTTTTTAAAAAAAACAGCCCTTATTAACTTTTCCTTCCATTGATTCTAGTGTAAACTCTAAAAGGCCTTTTTAAAAAGCAAGTTCACATACACTCAGCAGGTGATATGATCTATTAAAAAAAAACAATGAAAAAGGCAATTTTGTTTATATCCTCCCTTTTGACCACTTATAGCCTGACATGTTAAATTTTATTGCACACTCATGAAAATGGTTTATCTATTTAAAAAAAAGATGGCCTTTGTTCCCAGCTGTGCTAACATACCATTCTATCTCCCCGGCCTCTGCATGTCCCTGTTTGCCTTACATTCCAGTGCTACTTTTGACAACGTGTATCACTTGGAGGTGCTTCCAGACAAAGCATTTTATTGTGCAATTGCACTGCTTGATTCACAGAAGGTGATGGTGCACCCAGACAATGTCACTTCCTATAGCCCTCCTCTGTTTCTCCCAATTTCTTCCATCCTTTTCTTATCTGAAAAAATCGATTAAGTAAAGAAAGATGGAATAGCTTTGCGATGCCATTTGAATGTTAATAGGAGCCCTCCATCTGGAAGCACCCTGACTGAAAAGAGGACAACTTCACAAAATTGGATTGCTGCAGGAAAGACCCAGGTGACATGGCACACAAGTGTACAAGCATCTTAAAATAACTGGGGACATGCATCCAGGAACACTGGTTGGGCCAAGATAGGTATACACTTGTGTTTAAGCGAGGTGTGTGTCTACGAAGGCGCAATGGCCACAGATTACCTGTTTTGTCTAGGCAAACTGATGTTTCTCACAGCAGTTATAATATGTGGAGATGTCCTCAGAATAAAATACTTGCAGGTGTTCCCTTATCTTTTTAACATGAAAACAGAATTGGGAGGGGGGGTCTGAATCTCTTTGCTCCATGAATCGCATTGACTTGTGCCAGTTACATGACTACAGAGGAATAAAAATTGTAATTCACAATGAATGCCAAACATCCACCACCACTGCGGAGGTCTCTCATCTAGTCAACTCACTGAGCTCTTCAGCTGGTTTCTTACGCTGCGTTCTAACCAGGCTGCTCCTGTTCAACTGACCAGCGAGAAAGGACTGGGCATGTTTGAAAATGGGAATTGGAGCAACAGTTTGTTATAGGTTTCATTATGTTAAAAATTCACTGTCTAAGTCCACCTTCTCCAGAGAGCACGGCTTTGCTCAGCTCGTCTCCCCACGGGGTTTGTCCAGTCGGACGAATTGCGCTACAGTGGCAGAGGCTCCTCGGAATCGTGCACCCATTCATCGTGATTACACAGACGGAAAGCAAGCGGGCACTGTCTGCTCTGGGCTCTGCGGGAGCAGGGAAGGGGCGAGGGGAGCCAGTTTTGTGACTGGGAGGCCATTTAGGGACAGGGATTGTTTTTAAATCTGTTAGTTATGCCATGGAACCACAGCAGTTCTTTCCTCTAATAGAAATTGACAAGACGTAAAAGACAGAACTATTGGATGAACACACACAATGACTAGAAATAGATAAGACAGTGAAAAGACTTAGTTTAGCTCTGAGAAACTGTCCGAAAAATAAAATCCTGTATTAACAAGTGCAAAAACAAACCAAAAAAAGAAACTCCAAACATTAAAACACAGTGTATAAAATGGTGTGAGAAATTTAAGTCACCAGACAGCCTTTTAGTCAATAAAAAGCTGTATTTGATGTGTCCTTGTTTGGACTGTGGCCCATCTGTCCTTTGGAGGAGTGAAGAGAGGCCCAAGGGACCCAGTCTCTCATGTGTGACTGCAGGATGCATGGGCCTGCTGTGTGCCTATGGGAGGAGATGGATTGGGTCTTTTATTCCTCATTGGTTGAGTTATCTTCCAAATTTGTGATGCCTCCAAAGCCCAGTTCTGTTGAGTTCTGTGCTGCTGAGACCGTGAGTACTGTATGTAAGAGAATTAATACGAGAACACACAGTTTCAGTCTGCTGTTACACAGTCTTGATGCTGATGAAACTGTGAGTGATGTCCGGTGACACATCATGGAGTCACTTGTTTTTATAGTCCCTTTGGATTGGTTATCTGATAATAGTCCCCATCTGACATCACAGCATTCTGGTTCTGCATTGGTTGGATAGTTGTCATAGAGCCCTGCACAGAGGGGGAAACAACAGAAAGTTAAATGCATCGACAGTTTTACATGACAAAACAGTTTTCTGAATGCAGCAGCGTCCCTTGGCTTAAAAGTCAAGTAGCAAACTCACCTAGTAAGATCTTTACAAACTCATCTTATTGTAAAGATGCATCAGAATATGTGACTATTCTTTTGTGTAGAAAAACAGCATATAATTAAAATAAATGATAGGGATAATAGAAGTAATCAGAATAATAACAACCCACTATTGAAATTTATTCAAGATGTTCAACTTTTGAACTGAATCGGACTTGGCAAAAGTGTCCTTCATCTGCCACACCTGTCCGCTCACGACGACTTTGATCATGTATCATAATAAAGTCATGTAATATTTAAGGTGCCGTCTGATGGCTCATACTCTGCGTTCCTTATTTTCACAACTGCCAAAGGAAGAGTCAAGACCAAGCTGCATTATGAATTAACAAGCCCTTGTGCATGATAGCAGATTGAGTTTTAAAACGTGACCACAGCATGCAGAAACAAAGGGTCAGGTGATGTTGCTTCCCATTGTAAATATATTACAAGCACCTTATTCACTGTATAACCTCGAGTGTTAATAAGCTGCTCACAAGACCTATTTTATAATAATTATTTATATCACAGTTTAACTTTTTATGTCAGCTTACTCTGAGGGCCAGTGTGCAAGTTCACTGCAGGCCACATGCTGGTGGACATGTTGCATCTTCTGCCCCTGGTGAGAGGAGGGTGCCATGGCTTGTCCGAACACAGATGAAAGAGGTTGCTTGAGGAATAGACAAGCCTCAAATAACCCATGGTCCCTTGTAGGCTCTGCAGTTTAATGGATGACATGACAAACCATGGCAAGTCCCATGCCAGGGGTAGAATATTCAAAATAGCTGCCAGCATGTAAATCCAGCAGAACTTACTTCTGAGGACGGTTATATAAAGATTACTCTTCTGTTTAGTTCCTACCTTTACTTCCAGTAATACCACAGCAGAAAAAAATGCCAATATATACATCCATTGGCATTCCAATTATTAATAACTTAATTGTACAGTTCCATACCATAAAGTCTGACTTTGCACTGTAGGTACTTTCATTCCTCATGCAAAGCCCTTTATCTTTTAGGAACACTCTCACAGGGACAGCTGGTGTAGGTATTGGTATGCCCGGATTATCTGTTCAAGTTCATCAGAACTGTTTACTTCTATTCATAGCATAGCACTGGAGCAGTAAACTTATGGAATATTTCAGCTCTGAGTTCGCTCTTCCCAGGCAATGTTATTCATAGCAGTAGGCAGCTTGTGTTTCCGTAAGTCAGTCTCTTAAGTCATGCTTCTGATTTTTCCCATTTTAAATTAAACTGTCAATGTTAAGTGCACCAAAGGCACTCATAAAATAAAATGACTGTCCTTAAGACATGCAGAAGAGACTTTGCTCAGGATACCATCCATCTGAGAAGAAAGATCAGTTAGTTGGGTCTGCTCTGTTATGGTACCCAATTTATGGGATATTCTCCCCAGGTGTACATGTACTGGCAATTAAGAACCTTTCTTTAAAAAAATGTATTTAAATGGTGCTATGTGTAAATTTTCCTAGCAAACATTTTTGCTAGGAAAGCAGTACTTTGGTGGTGGGGAAGGGACAGGTTCTGTTTCCCCCAGTTCAGCTTTTTTCATGGTTTTCATACCTATTTGAAGCTTCTCTCAGCAGCTGCTTTGGCATAATTGCCTTTTTACACTGTCAGCCTCTTCCTGCTGACTTTGTGATCTCAGCCGGTCACGTTATGACCATAGTAGTTTCTTGACACACATAGCCATTAATATTTGGGCCCATGGTAACATCTCCAACATAACATCTTTTGAGACTGAGGGGAAGTTTCCTGCCCTTGTCCCTGAAGTGCTTTTGTAATGATGCCACATAATCAAGCAGAACTGCAGAGTGAGGGCAAGAAGCCAAAGCAGAGTAAGGAGAAGAAGCAATGTACTCACTATCAAGTGGTGTATTCTCTTGCCCATGTTCACATAGCTACCATTAAATGTACTGGTGAGGGATAGTATTTTCAAAGAAAATGGCAATTTTTACAAAAACTTTGTTTTAGTTAAGCTTTAACTTTAGCCACCAGAGATATCTATTATCTTAAAAATATTTCCCAAAGCCATGTCTCCAGTTTTACCGAGTACTAGACCTCATTTCTCATCCAGTCTCTTTGTTACATGAGAAATGAGATTATCTGCACATATACACTGCAATTTTCAGTTCTCTCTGGAACATTCAGCACTATTCAGTTCTATTCGGTTAATAATGAAATCCTGGTGAATTTCTAAGTGGATGTGCTACTTTTATGTCTGCATACCTATCAGTCATTTGATGCGCCAGATGTGCACAGACTTTGACAAGTCAAGTCTGTACACATGTTGAATCTTGAGAGGTGGAACATAGAGTAGGGCAGCGATGGCGAAACTTTTAGAGACCGAGTGCCCAAACTGCAACCCAAAACCCACTTATTTATCACCAAGTACCAACACTGCAATAAAACCTGAATACTGAGGTTTTAGTTTGAAACAACAACAACTTGCAACCAGTCCAAGCATCATCTCTCCCTCCCTCCCTCCCTCCCTCTCTCTTTCTCTCTCTCTCTCTCGGCAGTGCATTGACCGGTCATGCGAAAGCTCAGACAAGTTGCGGCAAATGGGTTGCGGCTCATGACATCATCTTCTGTCCAGCTACACTTTCCAAGCATGCACATATCCCCTATGTGCACTGTTATTCGATGCTTGGCTGCTGGGGTGATGCTGGGGTGACTTAGCTCAGGTTCTGCCAGAAAGGGCTCTGCATGTCTGCTGTGGCACATGTGCCATTGGTTCACAACCACTGCTCTAGCCCCATCCTGGTGCACACCCCAAACCCTAATATATGGCAAAATTTTTGTTCCTTGAGGAGATTCTTCTACACAGGTCATCATTTCTGCCAATTCTATACACATGCCAACCATCAAAATCATGCAAGGACACCTTGTTTTTCGAACCCTAACCCTACACTGGTGCACACCCCTAACCCTAACATAGGGTGAAAGTTCCCTCAAAAAGAGGGGGATTCTGAAAAAGCCTTCATTGAGTAGCTGTTTCTCCACAGCTCATCATTTCTCCCCATTCTAAACAAATTCCAAGCTTCAAAATCATGCCAGAACAACTTGTTTTTCTCACCCTAATGCAACCCTGGCGCACACCCTTAACCTAATAAAGGGCCAAACTTCCATTGAAAATAATGCTATTTTCAAAAAGCCATGATTAAGTAGCTGTTTCTGCACAGCTGATCCTTTTTGCCCATTCTATAAACATTCAAACCATCAAATTCATGCCTGGAAAACACTTTGTTGTAACCCGAACTCTAGCCTTGTGCACACCACTAACCTTAACATAGGGATAAAGCTCCTTTGAAAATTAAGCAATTCTGAAAAAGCCTTCATTGAGGAGCTCTTTCTATACAGCTCATCATATCTGCCCATTTGAAGCAACTTCCAACCATCAAAATCAACCCAGGAAACCTTGTTTTTCTGACCCTAACCCTGCCCTGGTGCACACTCCTAACCCTAACACAGGGCTAAAGTTCCATTGAAAATAGGGGGATTCGGAAAATACGTTCCTTGCGGACCTTTTTCTGCACGGCTCATCATTTTTGCCCATTCTCAACACATTCCAACCATCAAAATCATGTCAGGACACCTCATTTTTGTAACCCTAACCCCACCCTGGTGCACACCCACAACCCTAACATAGGGCTAAAGATCCATTGAAAGGAGAGCGATTTTGAAAAAGCCTTTCTTGGGGAGCTGTCTCTGCACAGCTCATCATTTCTGCTCATTCTAAACAATTCCAACCATCAAAATCATGCAGGGACACTCATTATTGTAACCCGAACCCTACCCTGGTGCACACCCGCAACCCTAACATAAGGCTAACGTTCCATTGAAGGGAGGGCGATTCTGAAAAAGACTTCCTTGAGGAGCAGCTTCTGCCAACCTCTTCATTTTTGCCCATTCTTAACACATTTCGACATTCAAAATCATGCCGCGACAACTGGTTTTTCGAACCCTAACCCTATTCTGGTGCACACCCCGAATACTAATATAGCAGTAAAGTTCTATTGAACAAAATTCAACTTTGAAAATACTTGCTTGAGTATCTGTTTCTGCACAGCTGATCCTTTCTGCCCATTGTATACACAATCCAGGTGTCAAAATCATGTGAGGACACCTCGTTATTGAAACCCTGACCCTACCCTGGTGCACACCCCTAACCCTAACACAGGGCTAAATTTTAATTGAAAAGAGGGCAATTCTGAAAAAGCCTTTCTTGAGTAGCTATTTCGTCACAGCTCATCATTTCTGCCCATTCTAAACACATTCCAACTGTGAAAATCATGCTGGGACACCTCGCTATAGGGGTATAGTTCCATTGAATATATGGCAATTTTGAAAATCCATGCTTGAGTATCTGTTTCTGCACGGCTCATCATTTCTGCCCATTCGAAACACATTCCCAGCATCAAAATTGTGCCAGAACATCTCCTTATTGTAACCCAAACCCTACCCTGGTGCACACCCCTAACTCTAATATATGGCTAAAGCTCCATTGTAAAGAGGGCAATTCTGAAAGACACTTCCTTGAGTAGCTATTTCAACACAGCTAATCATTTCTGTCCATTCTAAACACATTCCAAGCATCAAAATCATGCCAGGACACCTCCTTACTGTAACCCAAACACTACCCTGGTGCACACACCTAACTCTAATATAGGGCTAAAATTCCATTGAAAAGGGGGCAATTCTGAAAAAGCCTTTTCTACCCAGTCCATGCACACTCCTAGCATCAAAATCATGCCAGGACACCTCGTTGTTGTAACCGAACCCTACCCTCGTGCACACCCCTAACCCTAATATAGGGTAAAGTTCTATTGAAAACAATGCAATTTTGAAAATCCCTGCTTGAGCAT